AAAACGGTCACAGAAAATGCGCCTTCTCATTCATAGACGTTCTCTGATATAAGTTTATCAGAGGCAATATTTGTGTGGGGTTTTTATATCTTGTTGTAAGCATTTGTAAGATAGCTTCGGAAACGTATTTTAACGGATTTAATCGCTTAAAAAATTTAGAAAAAGGCTATTTTACATCCTATTACCAAAGAACGTAAATCTATTTACCTTCTTTGGTGCTATGCTATTATCATGGTTTACTAATTTGTCTTTATAAATTTAAAAAATGTTAATTAGTTTTCAAATGTAAGAAATTTACTAACTACTACAAAATCTAGATTTAAGTTCTTTTAGGATATTTTTATCACGCGATTTTTGATATGCATAATTTTAAAAATGATAGACCATCAGTTTTTTGGCAAATGAAATCCACAAACATTCCACATCAAATTTTTTCTTGGCAACGCTGTTTTTGACGTTTCTGTGCAACAAAAATAAATTTGCTCCAATTGTTTGTAGTAATTTTGCAGTAAAAAGAAAAATTTTTGCATGTAAAAAGATGGTCTTACTATGTTTAAACCATTTGTGTAATAAATTGTAGTTGGCTAAATAAAATAAAAAATAGTTTTTGTGAAACAGCATAAATTTCATCATAAAACTGAAAAGAAAACTACCCAGAAAATCCTGAAAGCAAGAGAAGAAGGAAAGCTAGTGAATAGAGGAACAAAGAAAAATACTAAAAAAGCGAGAAAGTACAAGATAAGCTGCGTTTTACATACTGTAGTGTAGTGTATGTAAAAAGAAAAAAATACGTAAATTATAGTCTGCCACCGTTTACACTTCATAAAATATCAATTTCGGTTCCATACGGCTGCTACGCGAATAAAACACCAATAGTAATAAAGGCGTAATACAATAGTGGCCACTTAAGCATAGTCTTGTTGTTGCAGTAAAGTGCCAGCGCCCATCTGCGATCGCACCCAGTCCTCCGCTGTACACCACCTACTTGCACATACATTTGACAGTTGTGGAACAGTGTACGTCCGCAAACATGGCCAATACATTGGAAGAACAACAAAGTTTACGTGAATGCGAGAACTACATTCAGGCACACGGCATTCAACGTGTACTCAAAGATTGCATTGTTCAGCTTTGTGTTAGTCGTCCTGAAAACCCCATTCAGTTTCTCCGTCAATATTTCCAGAAACTAGAAAAGGTAAGACAAACTTATGCATAAAAATTGTATGTTCATTAAATCTAAAAATGCCTGTATTTAAGTTTCAACTAGCTTTCCTGTTTGAAATTTCCAATAAAAAAGTGCAGAAGCCACTCATTGAAGTGCTGCGTTGGTGTCATTGTACACGCTGATTCATGAAATTCATGAACCAGTAATAATGCGCACTTACATTGTCTAAAAACAGCGTTTTTGTAAAATCAAGTAGGTGGCAGCTACATATACATATGTATATCTGTACCCATGTAGCTAAGTAGGGTATAACATTGACGACATAAGTTTATACTTATTTGGTGTGGGTTGTCATTTGTAACCAAAGAGATTGCAAAGACATGCTTGAAAATAAATGCATATGTACATATGCAGGTACTCTGCCGGAACAAAGTATTGGCACAGCAAATTTTTCACAATATATGCAACAATTTTCATTCTAATATTTTTCCGCTAATTTCGTCTAAAAATATGGTTCAGTCTACAGCAAAAAACATAAGAATATAATTCCTAAACTTTGTGGAAAACTCGCGAAAATTCAGCAAATTTTCCTTCAAATTTTCAACTTTTTAATCAGATTTTTTAGAATTGAGTTCAGATTTGTAGCCCAATCAATTTTATTATGATAAAATGCAAGTTTTAAGTAGCTAGGAATTACCGTTGATTTTTGGAATTTTTTTTTCACGCAGTCTTCCATACAAAAATTTTTTTTCGAAAATACTTTATATGGAAAAAATGCAAAACACCTTCAACAAAAAAATTCTCAAAAATCAACGCCATTTTTGACTAACGCAGAACTTGCATTTTTTACTAGAATTTAATGGGCTGCAAAACTGCATACTCAAAAAAGTTCTAAAAAATCTGAATAAAAAGTTGAAAATTTTGGTAAAAATTTGCTGAGTTTTCGTAAGTTTTGCCCAAAGTTTAGGAATTATATTTTTATGTTGAATGAACCATATTTTTATACAAAATTGGAGGAAAAATATTAGAATAAAAATTGTTGCATATATTGTGAAAAATTTGCTGTGCCAATACTTTGTTCCGGCAGTGTATGTACCCTGCGAACCAAATTTCCCGAATTTTAATGAAATCTTTAGGAGTTTCTCATTTCTGTAACGATTTTTTTACGAAAGAAAATTATATGAAGTGGTTGACACGAACTCGAAAAACATTTCTGGACAAAAAATAAAAAAAAAATTCTGCAAGAAGCAGCATTATTTTCATTGCTTTACCGATTTTCTTCAGAAATTGAAATCGAAGTGCGCACAGTGTATTTCATTTTAGAAAATTCGGCAAAAAATCGCATGAGATCTTTAGGAATTTTTTAAAAGTTCTCCGAAAAATGGTTTGCAGGGCATAGGCATGCATACTTACTTAGATGCTTTTCATGAAACTACTGGTATGTTGAAACTGCTTCGATCTATAGATATATATGCATATACATATGTATGTACATACGGATGTTATCCCGCCCACTTTTGAAACTAATATTCCAAACCTCTCAAGGGATCATTGCAGTGCCAAACGAATGCAAGCGCCTTCTTTAAGTATCATTTTAACTAAAAAAATGCCATATTCATCAAATGCCAAGTAAGGTATGTATATTTATACATATCAAGCCCTAGCCGTCAATAAGACATAAGCGGCATTTTTTTAGAAATTTTTTTTTTTGTTGTAGAAATGCATCTTAAGCGGTGGTGAGCATGAGCTTGCCCGGCTTCATAAACATTTCTACATCAAAAGGAAAATTTAGTTAGGGCTCGATTCGTATGCATGTATGTATGTATATTTTTTCGTGTAACTGAAATCGTCAAACTAATGATCACTTTGGGAAAAAATATTAGATATATCGCACACCGTCTTCAAAAGAGTCACAACTCAAAATTCGTAATTTTTGAGATTATACGCTAAAAATGTACACAGAGCTTTTAATTACCTTTCAGCAAAAACTGGAGCAAATTTTTGTTATAATTTGTTAAAAAAAACCTAAGGTAAAGTCGACCTTGCCCATATGGTTATCATTAGTTTTTCGCATTTTCTGACAAACGTATTATTTTGAGTTGTGACTCTTTTGAAGACGGTGTGCGATATATACTAGTAATAATATAAAACATCCCATTCTACCAAGGCACTGTAATATCAAATAAACCCATCTAAAATTCAATACTCATTGCAAATTCTGGCAATGTCTTTTAAAAAATGTATCTACACATGTATGTATGTAGGAACTTAACTAAATATTGAAGGAAATTTCGTAAAAATTAAGGAATTGAAAATTTTATTCTTTCAATATATGTATGTATGTACGTATGTATGTGCCCGCATACATATAGGTATCAGAACTATCTCTAAACTAGTGCAAAACGGAAAAAATATCCAAAAAACGAATCTTAAAAACCGTTTCTTATAAAAAAATTCCAAAACGGAACCGGTTAAAAACTAATTGCAAAGTAATGCTCTGGGCGGCAATTGCCACTGCCAATGGCATTGCCGTGTAAAACTGGACAGTCGCTTGGGTATTGAGCTGGAACTAGTACTGTCGGCAAAAGGTCTAGTTCTACGCTAGTCAGATTTTCTGCAGGGTACATATGACCGTATCCAAATAACTACATACGTATGCACATTCTAATGCGAGACAAGCCAATAAATATTGGGCTTGGTTAACAATTCGAAAATTATAAGAAAACCAATATATATGTTTTTCGAGTCTCACCTTCGATAACGAAGGTGAAATAGGTTAGTATTCGATTCGAGAACTAGGCCATTCTCCAGCAAAATGGAACCTTCGTTATCCAATGTATTTTCTTTCGAAATCCAACCCATTATCGAATTGAAAATTTAATGAGAGCGAGTGATGTACTTCCCTTCGAGAATAAGCTGGATTTCACTTTCTCTCTAGTTGTTGTTGTTGTAGCAGCATACAAATTCCCCAAAGACATTTTGGGGAGTGTTGCTGGAGTGA